AGTGATATTCTGTACGTGTAGTATGCTTTGTACTGTTTGTAATGTTTGTTTGTAATGTTTGTAATGTTTGTTTGCAATGTTTGTTGGTTTCTTTTGTATTGTTTGTAATGTTTGTTATTTTTGTCCACATGTTTGTCATTTTTGTCAACCATGTTTGTAATGTTTTTTGCATCACAAATCAATACATATAAAGTATACAAATTATTAGTAATTACAATACAAAGCGAAACATACTAAGAATACAAGCAAAACATACTAAGAATACAAACTGTCAAAGAAAAACATACTAAGAGTACAAACTGTCAAAGAAAAACATACTAAGAGTACAAACTAATGTTACAAACTATACAAACCATACTGACATTTTGTACAAAAATACTAACAATACAAACTAATGTTACAAAACATACAAACTATACAAATCACTGTTCTTCCTTCAGCCGTCGTCGACTCTCTCTCTCCACCGCTGCCGCCGCTGATTCGATCTACTGCCATCGCAACCTCTCTCTCTCTCTCTCTCCACCATTGTCGCCGACACTCTCTCTCCGCCGCCTCTCTATCCTCCACCATCGTCTCTCTCTCTCCTCTAGTTTCCCGACGACGAAGAGATCTGCTTTCTCTCTCTTCAAAGCTGCCGCCTCTGTACGTTCGTTCTCCTTTCCCTCTCTTCGTCGTCGCCGGCACCGTCGATCTCCATTGTCGTCGTCGCCGCCCTCTCTTCCATCATCGCCGGCGTTCTCCCCCGCTGCAACGCTTCTCTCTCTCATGGGCGGCGATGCTACGCAGAAGAAGACTGGCTGGAGAAAAAAAATTAATTAAATAAAATTTTCATAATCCCAAAATTGCCCCTCTCATTATTTAATCATCCCTTCCCTTATTTCCACCATTAGATCAATTAATAAGGATCCAATGGCTGAGGGGGGCTTAGCCAAGTGACTAAGCACCCCCCTTAGTCACCAGATCCGCTCTCTTTTAGGAGATTTGTGGTCTACATTAAGAGGTTTCTGATGAGTTTTACAAACATTTTTAGTATACTTTATAGCGATTCTGATATATTTCAAAAATATTGTAGTTTGCAATAGGAGAAGTTTGGTGTCCTCTCTGGTGAACTTGAGAAACTAAAACTCATAAGAAAATAATGACACTTTCAGAGATTTTGATGGTAAAGCAATAAAGAAGATTGATACTCCATAACTCACAATTCTAGCTCAATAGCTAGAGAGAGTGGACCATAAAATAAATTAAACTGCCTCTCCACCCATCTCTTCTTCCTTATCTTCCCCAACACTCGAAAACTTTATCCTTGTGTCAGTTTTAAGTTTTTGCTCTCACCAGCTTCCTCTCTATAGGTAATTAATCGTGAATTAATCTATTAATCATCCACCTCCTTGCCTAATCACCATCATCATATCATTATCATTATCACTCTTTATCGTACACATACTAATCTCTCCTTAATCATGCAGGTTTTGAATGGATTAACTAATCAAGCTCCACATTGACCGCACCGATGTCATCTTCTTCCCTAAGCAGGAGCTTTGGCGGATCATCTCCCTCCTCCCCACCGGCTGCTCATCCCTGCCCCCTCCTCCGCCATTATCCCTCCGCCGGACTCTCTCCGCCGACATGTCCTCCAACAACTCCTCCTCCCTCGTCACGCTCAAGAAAGTCGCCTCCAACAACGAGCTCCTCCACCTAGCGGTGGACGAGCCAGAGAAGCGAGATCAGGATCAGGCGGCGGCGGTAGAGAGGGGCTTACAGCCGTCGATTCTTGACGACTTGCGGTAGTAAAGCTAGGACTTACCGAGGTCGCTATGGCAGCCATGGAAGATGAGGGTTGCCGCTGACGTCGAACATGACCTCCCCCGGAGAACGTATCCACGAATAAATCGGCGCCGGAACAAGAAGGAAATAGAGGAGGACTTGCGAGCGGTGGAAGAAAGAAGGAATAGCGGGAGATGAGGCTGTGGAGGAACGAAAGAAATTGAATACGAGCGGATTAGGGATCGCGTATTATTTATTTAATTTTAATTTGATATTTTTTGTTAATTTACTTATTTACCCTTAATGAATTTTGTTGTTATAATAACAACACCAAGGGTGTTGTTATACTATCCGGTACCTTCCAATATAGACTTGGGTCTCTCTTCTCTTTCTCTTCTTAATTCTCCCTTTCCTCTTTCTGTTCATATTGCAAAATCCCCAATTCTCCAAGTTTCCACCTTCTCTCAATCCAATCCACAAATCCATTAAAAATACCCAACTAATCCAATCTATTTGATTCAAATCCAATTCGATTGGTGAATTCATGAATCGCTGGCAAATTATATTTTAGTACCTATAATTTTTTTTACATTTTGGTATCTAAAATTTTTATACGAAAAATATCATTAAAAATTACGTTCTGGTACTGACAAATTTTCATTATGATATTTTAGTACCTAAAATTTTCACATTTTACATATTTGTCCAAGGTTGAGGATGTCATTTGGACTCATGGATAATCCACCAATCCACTTGATCCAATCCATGAATCCGCCAATCTATTTGATCCATTAATCCTTCAATCCATTTGCCACCTATATTCATTAATGATAATTTAACGAAAATATGATAAGGTATACCATTTTATTACATCCAAAAAAGGGAAAGGATAAACCATTAGTCGAACATAGAAATGATTAATTTAACTGCAACAACCTAACTACACAAAAAATTTCACTTGTGTACCAACCTATTCAATATCCTGAAAATGTTTCAAAGTATGATAGTTGTGTGTCATTTATGTCATAGAAATTTCGTTAATCGTTATTTATGATTGACCAGGCGGTGGTCAACCTGAGATTGACTTTTGTTGACCTGTCAAAAACTTGGCTGCTACGTCGATGCCATGTCATTGATACCTCATTTTCTAATTCAAAATTAAATAAAAATATGTAAGCTCAACAATTAACATATTAGTGATTCAGAATTTTAAAACAAAAAAATAAAAATAAAAAACTCATGATTCTTCTACTCTATCTCTCTTTGAAGCATTTTCCCAAGTTAGAAAAACCCCAAACATCAACGAAGCCGTGTGACTCTCCTCTATCTCCACTCTATCCTAAACTTTGATGATGTCACCTTCTTCCAGGGGCGGAGCCAGGATTTAATCATCGAGGGGGCCGAAATTTTCTTAATCCATTACGGCGAAAGAGGGAAAACTAGTAATAAAAATTATTTTAAAAAATATATTATTATTATTTAAACTCAAAACTTTTTCACATTAAGTTCACTATAAATCATAAAAAAAATATAATAACTATAGTCGAATTAGCTAATAACTAGCTTCAAAAAAAGAAAGGAGAAGGCTACTGCTTACCAAAAAGACAAAAATATGCTCACCTCAAGAATTGAACCCGTGACCATTGGGTCCTTCCACTAGGCCAATTCAAATTTTATGTTATAATCTGCACGCTTTTTAGTTTTATTCATATTTTCTTGTTTAACGTATTATACTAAACCGTTTAAAGGTAAGCTCGAGATTCTCGGGGGGAGGGGAGGGGGGGGGGGGCTCCTTAGGCCAAACGTAGCTCCGCCCCTGCCTTCTTCCCTTGCTAGGCGCACCAGCCGATTCCCCTCCAAATTGCCCGAGTATGCAGACTTTACATCGAACGGCGTCAGCTACATCACGTTCCAGTCAAGGAATTCTGCCGAAGCAACCTCTGTTGTCCTTGACGATTTCATGGCGTTACGAATTTATGGTCAAGAGTTTGGTGTGTTTTTGTGTTTGTACTTTTGATTCCTATTAGCTCGTTTTTCTTAGACCACCCACAATATAGGTTGGCAAAATGGGAAAAGTGGGAAATGTGGATGAGAATACCCACCACTAGGGGACAAATGGTGGAATTTAGATATGGTGCATCACTTGGCTTTTGAAAAACGGTTCTCCATCTTACATCCAATGGTCCATAAAAATGGGCCATTAAATAAAGGGCCAAGATTTGTTGGTAAAAAGTAGTAGTGGAGAGTGAAGTCAGCAACTGAGAAGGAGCTGACAAAAAACTGCTTTTTTGGGGCCCACGGACTGAAAAGGAGCTGACACAAGAGAGAGAGAGTAGAGAAACAAGTTCTTGAAAATGCTGAATATGATTTCTGTTTTGTACAATTATGTTTTGTGATGAGTAGCAATATGTTTTATATTTAGTAAGAATATGATTTTAATGCGTGGTATATTATTTTGAATAAGAGTTGTGAAACTACGAATATAGAAATCACATATATGGAATATGTTTTCTATTCAATGCAAATAACATATTTTGTTTAATACGAATATGATATTCATATTCTAATGTGTATATTTGTTCAGTACATATATAACTTTTGCTCAGTACAAATATGTATTTTGTTCGATACAAATATGATTTTAGTTCAACAAGAATATACATATACCACTTGTAAATAGTATGTATAAGTTTTATTTTGTTAAAAATAAATGACCCACTTGTCAGCTAATTTTTCAGGTCGTGGGCCCCATAATCCACTATGGTTTTCTTTTATTATGAGGTGTTTTGATTGATTTTATCCGCAACGGACAGAATCAATGACGTTATATTTAAGGGCTAATACCACTGGGAAACCCGAACTATGAACTTTGTGTCATTTGTGTCCTAAAGTATTCGATATGACATTTGTGTCCCGACATATGATAATTGTATGTCATTTACGTCCTAACAATTTTGTTGACCATTATAGATAACGGTTGACCAAACAGTCAACTATAAAATGTTGACTTTTGGTTACATGGCACATATGTGGCAGCCACATATGCGCCACGTCAGATTATTATTTTTTAAATTAAAATTAAAATTAACAATTAAAATACAAAATAAAAATTAATCCCTTCTTCCCTATCCCTTCTTCTTCATCCTTTATTTTATCAAATTGAAGCCCAATCGATCTCGTAAGAAGGGCACTTCTCCAAATTGAAGTTCCTAGTGTCATAATCCAACGGCGCATCTTCAAACTCCGGAAATGTTAGATCTGATAGAGGTGATGATGATCCACCTGACCCATCGCTTTTCGTCGCCACAGGAGACACCTTCTCCTCTATCACCACCGTCGTGGCCTTCGCCGCAGCCGCCTTCTTTGCAGCTGCCGTCGAGGGTTTCTTCTTCTTCCCTCCTTTCCCGTCGTTCTCCGCCAAGCTCTGGCAAATCGCTTCGAGTTGGCGTCGACGGAGGAATGGAGGGACTTGTACTCTTCGAACTTGCCCTCGACGTGGGACCCCTGGTGCGGAGGCTGGGGAAATTCAGCCTGGCGAAGTTGCCGCGGAGCTTGAACGCGGCCTTGTCGTAAGCCAAGGCGGCTTCCTCGGCGGTATCGAACGTTCCAAGCCAGAGGCACGTCCTGTTTCGGGGGAGACGAATCTCGGCGACCCATTTCCCCCAATGCTTCTACCTCACTCCCCGATAGAGCTTCATGGGCTCCATCCAGCCGTGCTCAGTGGTCGCCGCAGGCAGCTATCATAGTTCCTCATCTTCCCTTCAGCTATTGAATCCGCCGCAACCTCAGATTTTATGGTGGGTAAGGGCTTGGTAAGAATTAGGTTTTTGAATTTGGGATTTTTTTCAATTCCAGAATTTTTGTTGTCTCTAGAAGAAGAAGAAGAAGAATAGGGGGTGGCTCGTCTGCATTTCCAATCCTCGATCGAAGCTTCCCCTCGGATTCGGCGGCAAAGCCATGGTTTGGCTCGTTGATTCCCTCAAACAAAGACCAGAAGGCTGCCAGCAATTCATTCGCATCGACCGTCGCCGGAATTGTTCCCTGGAGATGCAGATCTTTAGATCTGGATTTTTTTTTATAACTTTTCTTTATTTCTTTTTGTTAGTTTATTCATTTTTATGAGAAAATAAATATAATAAAATAATAAAAAATCCACGTCAGATGCCACATCAGAGCGGTGACTAGACTTTCTGTTAAAAACTAACGGTCAACGCTGGTCAACCATAACGGAAAAATAGTTTGGGACACAATTGTCATATCGAATACCTTATGACACAAATGACACAAAGTTAATAGTTCGGGTTTCCTAGTGGTATTAGCCCTATATTTAATTTGTGATGAAAAAAATTATGTCCAAATTATAAAATATTATATCAAAATGTTCGTATTCATTAATTATTACTAACTACGTAAAAATAATGATCATTATATAAAAATCAAGTGATGAAATCCACTATAGATTGATTTTAACAAAAAAAATACTAAACAATTACCCACTTTTCCCACCCTAGACATTGTGACCAAAACCTCTCTTTTTCCTTCTTTTCCCTATTTTCCCACCTTTCCCTCTCACCCACATTGTGGATGGTCTTAGTGCTCTGATATCATCTGTTTCTTTACTTTGCATTTCTATTACTTTATTTTCAAATATATATTTATTTTGGTTAAATTTATTTATTTTAATAGTGAGATTAATTTATGGACTAGATATATTTTATGAATTCTGAATATACCCTTTGAATTTCCTATGTTTGATCGTTGCATATTATTATGATAACTAATATTTTCCAAATATAATGTTCTTTGTAAGTATCTAATTTTTAACTCTATGTATTATATACTTATTAGATTTATCAGGAGTAGTTGTTGATTTAGAGTCATAAGAGGTTGTTAATGGTTTTTTAAAGTTTAATTATAATTATAATTATATGTATTTTCTATTCCCATTATTTGTTGTAATAATGTAATTAATGATTGAATGAGATAGTTAATTGGTTCAATTATGCATACTTTATGATTATGATTGCCAATCCATTGGATACTAAGGGCCCGTTTAGTATTGTTGCTTGTTTTTGTTTTCTGTTTTGTTTTATGAAATTTGGAAAACCAAGAAAAAAAATCATGTTTAGTTGGGTTTTTATTTTCTGTTGTGAATCAGAGTTGCACAACAGGGCCCAAATATGAGAAACAACAATTTATTGCTTTGGATATGATTCTTAAACATGTTGCACACGAGATTCCTACTGGTTGGGCACTTGATTTCATTAAACAAGACCAATTTTCGAATCCCCACAGAAGCAATTTTTTTTTTAACACAGCCCCCAACCCTACTTCAACTTATCAGCCCCCCCCCCCCCCCAAAACCCTTCTCCCCCCAAAATCTTCTCAACAGAGGCGCCACCTCCGCCAAAGTATTGTCATTGCTTGTTGCGCCTTACATAATTTCATCAAGATTCATGCCGAAGATGATTAACTATTTCATGAATATGAAAATTATGAAGATGAAGAAGGTTCGACTTCTGGGGTTGAACTACCACTCATTGAGTTCAACGTCAGCTATGCAGCAACACGTGAGATGACCGAGAAGCGTGATGCCATTGCTAACCAGTTATGGAGTGATAATCGTGTTTAGTATTATTTTTTATGTAGGGAACATGAAAGATGTTAGGTAAATTGAATTTTGTGAGACTTTGCTTAATATTGAGGACATATCTCTTTTTTCTGGTTTTTAGTTCTTACAGTAGTAACTAAACGCGTTTTTGTTTCTTGTTGTCAGCTTTCATGATTTTTCAGATTTATCAACTAAACAGGTTTGTATTTTCTGTTTTTTTCCTGTTGTGGTTGTACATCTGTTTACACAACACCACTGCAACCACAACAACAACAAAATGATACTAAACGGGCCCTAAGATTCATGCAAAAACTATTGACATTGTTATCTAGGCAACAAATCCTCTGATTTGTTTATGAGCGAGAAATCACCATGACATGCAATTTTATTTGTCATGATACATCTTTCTACATGTTGTTTTCTGCATTATGTTATCAGTTTAATTTATGATTTTATGTTCATTAGGAAAGTGAAGTGGAGTGGATTTGCATGATTACATCAACAAGAGAAGGTTTTCATACCAAATTCTTTGCATCGATGCCGCTGCCACACCATCACCTATGTTGAAGAGTGACAGTATAACAAAAATTTATCATGGAACTTCCATATTCTAATAGGCATGATCCACAACATTCGACAACCTTTTCCCATGAAAATAAATTGTATCATGGCTCAATTTTAATGTTTGTGTTTGTGCCACAATACCCTCTTCACTGTTCGGACATCTCACTTCGCCTGGCGTCAACCTACACACACAAAGAGGAGGGCGCCTCGGCCCGTTAATCCTCCGACGCCCGAGTTAGTTTCAGTGGGAGATCGAAGTTCTCAAGTAGTATTTAGTGAGAGTGAGAGTCCAACCTACGTAAATGCTACCAACTGCCCCTATTTATACTCACCGAACTCGAGGTTGATCTCCTCCACGTCATTGTGCCCATTTAATGCTTCGTACTCTCTTTGTCAGACACCCCAACCACCTTGTCAGGCTTCTGACGCGTGACAGGCGCCCCCAGGTGATGGACCACCTGACAGCTTGGACTCCTTTGGCCTTTAGTTTTTTGTCTTCATGCGCCCTTCCCCTTATTTGGGCCTTGAGGTATTTCCCAGGACCCTCTTTTGGGCCTTGCCCCCCAAGTCCCTTGTCTGGAGGCCCGAATTCCCAATTGCTGGGTAATACCCCCAACAGTTTGTAATATGGTAATCAATTGTCCCAGATTTGGTCTTACTTTTCTCTTTATACACTCCTTTAGGAATTTCCTTTGGTTCTCTAAGATAATTTAGTTACTCTTATATTGTTTCGCACTAATGATATTCCATTCTTTTTTTCAACATCAGTCTACCTAATATATTAATTATTTTTTGCTTGACAACACTACTGAAATAAGCAGTTGATAATCTTTATGTCTATATGAAAAACATGAAAAAAATAATCACATAGAGCCAAAGGTGAAATAGATAAGAAAAATGAAAATAAACCCAACCATGGGCCGAGCTCAAAGCTAGTTAAGAGTTTGGTTTCTTAGCACCTAACGCGAGAAAACACCTAGTTTTTGTCTATTAGTGCTTCTGATTCCTATTGCCTATTGACTTCTTTTTCTTAGTGCTCTGATACCATTGTTTTCGTTACTTTGCATTTCTATTACTATATTTTTATTAAGCATTATGTTTTAGGAATTCATATATATATAGATATATATTTATTTATTTTGGTTAAATGTATTTGTTTTAATAGTGAGATTAGTTTATGGTTTCGATATATTTTATGAATTCTGAACGTACAATTTGAACTTCCTATATTTGATCTTTGCACATTATTCTGATCACTAATATTTTCCAAATATAATGTTCTTTGTAAGAATCTCATTTTTAACTCTATGTATTCTATACTTATTAGATTTACAAGGAGTAGTTCTTGATTTAGAGTCATATAAGAGGTTGTTAATGATGTTCTTTTAAAGATTAATTATTATTTTAATTATATGTATTTTTTTCCGGTAATTATAGGCCATCTCATTGAAGCACTGCCTGGGAAAATCCAGGATCCCAAAAAACAAGGAGCAACAGACCTGCTCCACTGATCCCTATTACATAGGAAAACAAGAATCAAAAGTCTAACTATCAAAAAGCTAGCAGACTGTTGAGCTGGGGAATCGCTCTAATCTCTGTAAGAAAATTAACATTCCCCATAGCATAGAAATTGAACTCTTCAACTAATTGTTGTATAAGCACCCTGCAATCTCTTTTGCTGCTCTGGAATATACGCAAGCAGCGTTTTTTCCAAATGATACTTAAACACCAGCACCACACCGCACTCTTCACCTGGCCTTTACCCCCTTGTTTGGCAATGTTGCATATCCATTTCAGAAGATCATCCCACGAGCTCGGCCAAGGACTTCCACCAAAAAAGGTTGCGAAAACCTGCAGAGAATAGGGACAAGTGCAGAATAGATGGGTTCTGCTCTCCTCTTCTCCATCACACAACACACATAATGAATTTATAACTTTACTCCATTGCCTCAGTTTATCCAACGTATTAATTCTATTCAGAATTATCAACCATGCAAGTACTCTGTTCTTAGGAATCACAAATTTGTTCCATATCACCCTCCACCATTCAACTTTCCTACGTTTGGGCCGAATAGAATTCCATACCTGCTGGATGGAAAAGCGAGCCATCACCTTCCCTTCCCAAGTTACTTCCCCTGCTGATGTAGTAGCAAACCTGTACTGGAACCAACCACGAGAAGCTAAGAGCCTTCGCCATATCCATGACCCTGTCTGTGAGGAAGAGAGGTCCCAAATTGATCTTCCCCTCAGCCTGTAACGTTGAATCCATGCTACCCAGAAGCTTCCACTTTTCATCAGCAATAACCATAACACCCGCCCAATACATGCCACATTCCAACTACCCAGATCCCTCAGACCCATTCCTCCTTCTTTTTTTGGGACTGCCACTGACTCCCACGCTACTTTAGCTCGACCAGTCCCCTCACCATACGACAGAAAATCTGAGCAAATCTTATGAATTTGATCTAGCACCTTTTTTGGT